TCCCTTGTTGTTTGGTATGGTGTCCTCTTTGAGATTAATATAGCTAACAAAAAATTCAAGGGAAGGAATTTGATATACATGACACAGTTGACAAGTGAAAGAAACAAAAAAAAAAGTTTCCTGTAAACTGCAGGAATGACGAAGAATTTGAGAAAGCATAAAGTGAACTTGCTGAGTTGGCCATATTGGCAAACTTTGAATAACAGCCAGTCCATGTTAGGAGAAAGAAAAAGTTCACATATGAAGCAGACGATGAACCAATTCAGAACCCCATGCAAAAGTTCAAAATGAAATTTATTTTACAGTCTTGGATGCAGCAATACAATCAGTTCAACAAAGACTTGCACAAATGCATCAAGTTAGTTCTTTGTTCGGCTTCCTTTATGACATTCACAATTTGCAGAAATGAAGGAAATAATGAAATATTGCTTAAAGCTAGAAAAAGCTTTACAACATGGTGATAACAAAGATTTGATGCTGCAGATTTTTTTTTAGTGAATTACAAGTCATTGCATCGAGAAGCTTGTATCACCACAAGACAGTTTTAATTTTATATGTAAAAATAAGATAGCAGATAGTGTTCCAAATGCATTTATTGCTTTACATATTCTCTTGACACTCCCCATTTCTGTGGCCAGTGGTGAGCGAAGTTTTTCCAAACTAAATTTGATAAAAACATATTTATGTTTATTCATGATGCAAGAAAGACTTGTTGGACTTTCCACTCTGTCAATATAACATGAAATTGCTGAAAAACTTGACTTCAAACAACTTATTTGCACATTTTTCAAATCAGAAGTTCGGAGAGCAAAGTTTCATGTGTCTGCTGAACTCCACAGTTACGACCATCTGCTGACTACAGGAACAGTGGCTTTTAGGACCATATTGTCAGTAGTTAGCTTCTGACTAATTAGTTCATTTTCTGCTGCCTATATTGCTCAAATACAGCTATTCTGCAGTTAACATTAATATGTATGGATACAAAGGTTTAAAATGTAGATGTTATAAAAAGATTTTTGGCATTGTTACAAAATGTATAAAACTAGATTGGGTTTCATTATTTCTTCACTGCGTGTATATAATAAAAATACTAAATACTATAATAAAAATACATCAAAGGAGTCCAATGCTTAAAATGTGCTTGTTATAAATGGATTGCATCAAAATAAAATTAAAAAAATTTTCTCATTGATATTGTTTCTTCATTGCATTTATGTAATAATAATAATAAATGGGTTATTAGCATGAATGCAGTTATGCAGCCAAAAGATGAAAATATATATGTTACCAATGGGTTTTTGGGATTTTTACAAAAACAATATAATAATGCAGTTTTTACATTAGCTTATCAAAAGTTACTAGGGGGTGAACATCTGGGGGCTCACCTAGGGTGCCAAGTACCCTCGCTCCAGCCCCGTCTGGGATTCAAACTCACGATCCTCAGATTGTAAATTGATTGCCAGGCCTGAATATCTACAGACTGTTTTGTTGTAATAAAAAGTATAGTTCTATAGTGGAGCTATTTAGTTGACATGACAAAAACAATTACGCATCTTACTATAAAGATGGTCTTTTATGTATGTGTTAGCATCCATTGTCCGAGTTGGCTGGCTAAATTAACAACTTTTGTATGGTTACTGTACACTGTCCTACAGTGTATATGGGATATTTAGTTTGAAGATTTTTTGGAACAAAAAGGGGGATAAAAAGCCCCTGAAATAGGGCACATTTCCACTATTTATAGACTTTTGGCTTTGAACTTTAAGACACAAGTACTTAATCAGTTAAATGAGGCAACTTACCTTCCACAAAACAAGATATTCAATTAACATCTAATGAAGTTATTAGGGATTTAATAAAAAAAAGGGGCATATTATTTAATAGCCCTTTATACTATTTTGGCTTCCTTCACAAGTACACTTACCTGGTATTGATAATGAATAACTACCACAACCCATTTCCCCTGAAGCTGTCTATGATCAGTTTCAATTTCCACATATTAAAATGCATAAAACCAAACTGAGCCACGGCAGCTCACACATCTATTAAATACTTAGAAACTGAACAGACTAAAGTTGGAAGTTAAAGTTCCATGATACTTATAGGGTTAAATAAATGCTAAAGACATAATAATCAAGTTACATCATTCTTCTGAATACCAAAGATGATCCACTTCACAAACTGGTCATGTTTCACAAGTTGGGGAAGAAATGAATGATTAAAATACAATCAGCATCTGTAAACCTACAAGATTAAAAGCCCTCTTGCATGGACAAAAGGGAGGGAAACATGAAAATGATAAACCACATGGAAGAAATAATCTCCAAGAAGCATTACTGGTATCCACAGGCAGCACTTAACTGTGTTGATACAGTACAAAACATACAATTGAAACCAGACAGTAGTATACAGAAATGTTCTATAAGAAGTGTTATAAGAATGATGAGGTTTCTAAATGTCTTTATTCCACATTCTAATCTTTCATCATAAAATAATGTTTAATAGTCTACATTAACAAAACTTGACCAATCCTTGAACTAGATCTAGCAACAAAATGCTGGACAACCAAACCAAAAAATCACTTTCTTTTTGCGATAATAGTAATAAACGAGACCATGTGCACAAACCTCTTCAAAACTTTATTATGCAGCATTATATTTATGCCATGGTTTTCACCTTGGTAGACTAGAGCTAATACAGGCCAAACTGCAGTTGTTAGGTGCTTGTGATACAGATATCTGTAGCTAACATCAGCTATGTCTCATATTAAAGAAATGCAAACCAATTCCATGACTACTCGTTTATTATACTAAGAAGCTACCAACTAGACCTGAAGGGAAGAGATAGCAACACAGTAATTGCACTAAATTTTCACAGTTAATTTAGTTTTACTTAGCTATACAAACTAATAACCATTTCCTATTATACTGACCAACTTCATCTAATTAGTCATACTGACGTGTGACAACTGACAAGTAACATGGTACAGACAACTTAACAAGATTGTACTCATCTAACTGATCAGACTAATAGCTCATGTTGATCTACAACAACTGACAACTAACAAGGTTCAGACTACTTAAAAAGATTGTACTGATGTAACTGATTAGTCTAATAGTTCATGTTGATCTACAACAACTGACAACTAACATGGTTCAGACTACTTAAAAAGATTGTACTGATGTAACTAATCAGTAATAGTTCATGTTGATCTACAACAACTGACAACTAGCATGGTACAGACTACTTAACAAAATTGTACTGATCTAACTGATGAGTCTAATAGTTCATGTTGATCTACAACAACTGACAACTAACATGGTTCAGACTACTTAACAAAATTGTACTGATCTAACTGATGAGTCTAATAGTTCATGTTGATCTACAACTGACTACTAACATGGTTCAAACTACTTAACAAGATTGTACTGATCTAACTGATCAGTCTAATAGTTCATATGCTGATCTACAACAACTGACAACTAACGTGGTACAGACTACTTAACATGATTGTACTCATCTAACTGATCAGTCTAATAGTTCATATTGATCTACAACAGCTGACAACTAACATGGTACAGACTACTTAACAAGATTGTACTGATCTACTTGATCAGTCTAATAGTTCATGTTGATCTACAACTGACAACTAACATGGTTCAGACTACTTAAAAAATTGTACTGATGCAACTGATCAGTCTAATAGTTCATGTTGATATACAACGACTGACAACTAATATGGTACAGACTACTCAATAAAATTGTACTGATTTAACTGATGAGTCTAATAGTTCATGTTGATCTAAAACTGACTATTAACATGGTTCAGACTACTTAACAAGATTGTACTGATCTAATTGATCAGTCTAATAGTTCATGTTGATCTACAACAACTGAAAACTAACATGGTACAGACTACTTACCAAGATTGTACTGATCAGTCTAATAGTTCATGTTGATCCACAACAACTGAAAACTAACATGGTACAGTCTACTTATCAAGATTGTACTGATCTAACTGACAACTAACATGGTACAGACTACTTACCAAGATTGTACTGCTCTAACTGCCTACTAACATGGTTCAGACTACTTAACAAAATTGTACTGATCTAACTGATGAGTCTAATAGTTCATGTTGATCTACAACTGACTACTAACATGGTTCAGACTACTTACCATGATTGTTCTGATCTACTTGATCAATCTAATAGTTCATGTTGATCTACAACTGACTACTAACATCGTTCTGACTACTTAACAAGATTGTACTGATCTACTTGATCAGTCTAATATTTCATGTTGATCTACAACTGACTACTAACATCGTTCAGACTACTTACCACGATTGTTCTGATCTACTTGATCAGTCTAATAGTTCATGTTGATCTACAACTGACTACTAAGATGATTCAGACTACTTAGGATCTTTTTATTTGGAACACTGGCACAGCAGTAGGCAACCATTTTATATTTCAGGTTACCATATAAATAAATGTAAGACCCTTCACGCTTCTTAAATAGAAAGCTAAGTTGGAGCAATGAAATATCTTCCTGGGCCACCTAATTATTCATGTTGTTGATGGTGATGTGCAACTATGTACTATTATCATAAAATCTGTTTCAGAAACTTACTGCATTTTATAAAGAGCTAACCAATTCTTTGATAGGCGCATAACAATTACAAAAATTATGGAAATTTTTTAAAACGCTCATGCAATAAAATACTAAAACTTCAGCAACAGAAAGAAGTAACTTGTAAAACACATTATAACAAAGTAGATGAAATCTATGGTGAGGTATCTGTAGCTCATATGCCTTGGTTTCTTTCTCAGCTAATAACCAAAGATATAAATAAAAAATAAATTAAAATTAAAACGACTGAGTTTGTGTTAAATAAAAAGCATGCTATGTTTTTGAAGCACCAATCAGATGATTTTAAACCCTCAAATTTTCCTACCACTTAAGATTGAAGACAATCAATTACATATCAAACTCACCACAACAGTGTTATCTTTTGCCAATTGTTCTTTCATGGGATCATTAGGGTACTGGCCTCCCATAAGACCCTGAAAAAACAAACAAAAACAAGTCCTGTCATACATTTCCCACTTGAGCTACCCTCTTTACTGAAACTGAGTCTAGACCAGTTCTTACAATGGAAGTGGTTCATATTTTCATTAAGTGTCTAAAGAGAAATATTATTTAGATGCAAAAATCTAGAATGCTAAGCAATACGAATTGCAGAAATGATAACTGCAATTTGCATGTAAAAATCCAGCATACAAAGCAGTATTTTCTGTAAAAAAGACTATCTACAGTTTACATGTAAAAATGCAGCATGCTAAGTATCATTAGCTGTAGAAATGATAATTACAGCTTACAGTAAAAATCCAGCACAGAAAGCAGTGTTAACCATAGAAATGTGGGCTTAATTTTCAGTAATAAGCAGGCTTAAAATGTACCTTAAATCAAATTCATAAATCAATCCATTACTTTCTCAGGTAAGATTCTAAGTCATAATAATTTCAATACTATAAATACTTTCATAATATGACCAATAAATAAAAACTGATTGCTTGGAAAATTCTGCAGAATGAAGTAAAACATGAATTTATGTATTAAATATGATTGATACATGAAGGTAAGGACTTCTTTCAAAACAAAAACATTTGTCCACAATATATCAAGTTTGGCTAATTAATGCAAGAGCTGGTGCTGAATAATGAGTGGTGAAAGCAAACAAGCTTGTAATAACCAATAAACCAAGCAATAAGATTAAAACCTCCATTGTTAAAGCTCAAAGATTTAAAAATCATAAGAATCTATGTATTGTTTGTTTCTTATTAAGCACAAAAGACCATCTGTGCTCTGTCCATTGCAGGTTATCAAAACCCAACTGTTAGCATTATAAGCCTTCAGACTTACAGCTGGGCAACCAAGGGTGGGGGTGGAGGCATAAATTGTTTCTGTCTGCTGATGCTTTTGGAGGTGGATATTATTTTGGAATTTGTACCTAATCAGTACAGGAAGTGATAAAGAAACTTGTATGAAGAATAAATAAAAAATAGGTTTGTGGAAATCATGTGTTTCCAGGTATCTATCAAAACTTGCAAACAGAAAAAATAACTTAAAAAAACAAAAATTAATTTATCAAGTTTAGTTAATGCATTTTCACTTAAAAAGTAAACTGGGTTGTAAAATAATGACAGACTTTGCACATAAATTGTAGTATATAAAGCTACTAAAAACAACAACAAAATATTATTTAAACAATAACTTAGGAAACTACCTGTAACTGACCTTCTGTAGTAAATACATCTAGTTGGCATCAAGTAAATTAACTTGTGGCTTTCATACTTTGTGAGCTATTCAAAAAATTATGCACATTACTTTACAATAATAATAAAGTAAAAATTCAGAACGTAAATGCAAAACATTTTAGAAATGAGTATGTTTGTTTGAAATGTTGCATGTAAATATGTGGTATAAAAAAATATTTTTTACTGCAAAGTCAGAATTAAATAATAATAAAAAATATATTCAGTTGTGTAGAATCCAAGTAGATGTCAAGGTAGAATACTTCTGTTGTTGGATTAAAACCTTTAGGCACCTTGAACTGACAAACGGATGTCAGAACATTACTTTCACCCCCTACTCCCCTTAACTAATCAATGTGCTATAGCTCAGTCCTCAGCTGTGCAAGTCCTCTTGCTTTCCCAAACATGGAAAGTTGTTGCTATGACAACTAAATCAATACCGTTTCCTCACTATGGCAACCCAATCAATTAGGAACTCCAGTGTATTAAGAGTAGAGGAGTGCTAGAGTTCACAAACACGTGCATGTGATGATCTTGAGTTTCACCTAACCACACAGCATGTACTGTGACTTTTATTTTAGTTAAGATCAACCAAAGACTACCGATAAATTACACAGAATATATTACGATAAGTAATTCCACATAACTAGAAATGGAAAAGTTCACAAATTGATTAACAATTTCAATATAAATTTCTTCTTAGGCATTAATTAAGTTAATTCAAACTACTGATGAAGTTAACAGAATATAAATTAGTCATTAAAAACATTGTTTTTTACTTATAGTTAAATATGTATGTAACTAACATTTAAAAAAAAAACAACAAAAATAATCATAAAGACTAATAGCCAAAAGTTATTGCTTAAATAATTGATATGACAAGTAGAAAAAATCAATCAATGTGTGCTTGTCTGTTTAAAAGCTTTTGCTGCAGCTACAGTGCTATCAAATGAAGTACAAAGGGGAAAAAAAGGCGGTGAAATTAATAAATGTATGAAAAAAAGGGAACAAAACACCGTAAAAATGAGATTAAACAGAAATGTACCACACAAACACACCTTTATGCTGTGCTTAACTAATCTGAAGTAGAAAAAGATCATTTGATAACGTTAAAACTGTACAGGTGTGTAATGATAGAAAACTGTGCTATTTTTTTTAATATCTTTTGAATAAATATCTTACTTTCATAAAAAATTAAACCATTTATCACATTTCTTTAAAGTAGCTTTGTAACTTTTCAGAAGGAATGAGACTGCTGGAAAACAAAGTACTACATAATGTAGCTAGGAAAAACAAAATAGTGGGGGGGGGGGGATCAATAAGAAAGAATACAGCTAAAGGCTATTAGCAACACCAATAAAAGGATTAACTTCTACCTCCTGGTAGGTAGCCAGTCTATACGTGAGGAGGTCAGCACCTGCCGATACAACCGCCCCCTCAAGACTGCCATCTAGGTCTTAACCCTACAATTAAAGGACTTACAGTAATTAATTAAGCAGATGTGCAATTTGACTAATTTTTTGAACAGCAAATTGCATACCCAGCTCTGCCCTTGGTGAAAGCCCAACAGATCAAGTGAAAGTCTACAAATAATAGTAAACTCTCAGTCCATAATGGACTTTCTTTCTGAAGCTCTTGTAATGCACTTTAAATGTCTTGCCTTAAAACGTTTTGTAGGTTATTTTAAGGAGACTGTACTCTTCCATCTTTTTACTTTTGAAAATGCAGAAAATATGCACAAATTTGCTAAAATGAGCAAAATCTATGCAAGGATTTTCAGCAGCATTTATTCTCCAAGAAAATTGTTGTAAGACAGGAGAAGTGGATCGGGAGTGAGGTGTAGCACATGAGTAAAAACAAATGGCAGCAATGGCAAAACTGTTGCATCACTTCTTGTTCAAACCGCCCATTTCACAGTAGAGATGCAGTCAAGATTTCTACTGTCTGAATTTGGTACATTTATTGCATTAAATTTAACAATCTTGAATATTGCTTCTACAGAAAACTATATACATCAAGAAGTAAGAAATATCATAAAAAATATTTTAATTATGAAATACTTCTCCAATTCAAGCTTGAGCACTTATTCTAACCTTAGCATAAACTGGAAGTTATATGGAAGTTATAAGTGAGAAACTTAAACAGCAGCAAAATCTTTATTCTCTACATTGTAGCTGGATATTTTGTTGTGGTGTGAGTTTTGTTCAAACTCAACTGTTTACAATAGCTACTGCAGTAGTAATATAGTGGTTACTCCATAGAATATTTTTATTTTTCAATATTTGGGAAAGCGTAATATGAATTTGATCTGCTTTTGGATTAAAGTTAGCATGCCAAATTTGGTCTGGATTGGTCAACTCGTTTAGGAGATGTGTCCATAGCTGAACAGAAAGTTTTCATTCATATTGGATAGTTACTGCACCAGTATGAATTAATAAGTATAGTGCATATGTGAAGAATGCCAAACTTTTACACTCGGCTCTGCTGAGCTTAGCTTGGCAAAGCTGGATAATCTTACCAAACACGACATTAGTTATTGTGTTCATAATGTAAGAGCTGATGTATCATGGGTATTTTCTATGTTAAGTCCCCATTATCTTTTTCAAATTACTTAAATAGCTAACTTCACTAGTATTAATAAAATATTCAGCTCAAAACTTTTTACAATAATAAAATGTATTATAAATTACTATTTCACAAACCAATATAATTTTTGTTTTGAAATTTAAATGCAGATGCTCCAATAACAAAATAGGTTCCTTTACCAACACTTTTACCCATTTATAATGAACTCCACCCTGACATACAGTCTAACATAATCTTGTACACAGACTGTCTCTCTTGGTGTTTCAAGTAAAAAATGATAACAGCAAATTCTAATGATACAACACGTGTGTCCTAGATAATTATAAAAATCTTAACAAGCTCAAATGTGCATGTATATTTGGTTTATGAACAATACTCTGGGCATGTATCACAACTGCTGTCTTGTAAGTCTTCATTATTAATGTTATAAAATGAAGGGAGTGCATCTAATTGTGAATTACATGTAATCCATAAAATGTATTAGGAAGTGTACAGCCCTTATAATATACACATATCTTCAAGAACACACATAGTTCACCTGTAACACTTGTTTAAGTTGGTACTTATAATAAACACACATCTTCCAGAACACACACACAGTTCACTTACTGGTAGATTTGAACACCCACATTTTGTCATCATTACTACATTACCAAACATGACCAACAGGTTGTGTACATAATCTTCCATATAGATAAAGCAACATACCATATATTAGTTTAAACTGATGGTGTTTAAGATGAATCGATCAATCCCAGATGAACATAAATTGTGTAAATGAAATTTTATTAATTATTATGGTAGTATGTTAAATTTTCTTTCACAGATTTGGAATACCAAATGTTGTAAACAATGTATTATTATTATTTATTAATATCTACTTGTATTTATAAAAAAAGCACACATTTGTTTTACTCCAAACATTTTGTCTACTGACAAATTACTATTGCTAAAAAAATAGTTCACATGATGAAAATACAGTCTCAGAATATCTATCCACTGTTTCATATCTAAGTGGCAAATCTCAGTATATAACACAAGGCTTCATATTCTGTACTTGTGTTTACTACACAATGGGCTACCTATGCTGTGCCCACCAAGTGTAACAAAATGCAATTTTTAGCATCATAAGCTCATAATGTTACCACTGACCCACCATTGTGGAGTTTAGGGTGGGGTGATATTCAGTACAAATTGTAACAAATAAAACTATAAATTCAATTTCCCCAACCAATACAGTTGAAATACTTTGTTATTTTGTAAAAGTTTTCTATCAGAAATGACTGCTCATAGTGAAAATAGATAAGGCCTACATCAGTTTCCATCCAAATATTCTGGATATTCTCTAATCCATACTCACAACAAAATATGCACTTTCTGGATGAGGATCTCCAATTTTTTTTTATCAAACATTGGCATAACATCAGTAGATTAACACGTTCCAAGATTTCTTACCACACACTATCATAACAAACAGATATCTACTAAAGTGCTTCAAAACTGTTGAAAAGAGAATGTGTACAAGTTTGTTAAGTGTCAATTCATTTCACACCCACAGAAAAGTTACAGAATGTCAAATTGCTACCGTAACACTTCAGTAAATAAAAATTTAACAGTTTTAGATGTTAATTCATTAGCCGAAACTATAAAAGAAAAGTTATATGGGCTAAAATGTCTACATTCGTTACACCAAGTCTATAGGATAGAAAAGTTAAAAATTTCAGAGTATATGTGATTGAAAAGATACAATTGCAGCACACACACACTTCAGAATTCATTTGGAAAGGATACCTTTACTATACAACATATCACGTTGTGGGCTCAACATTAACGACCAACTTTATACATTATCAGCATCAAGAGATTCTCTGACAAAAATACTAAATGGAGCATAGTAATCATGAACATGTCAATAAGCTATTGCCTAATGCACTCTATCTCTTTTTGATTTTTACAGAAAAAATAAGATTTTTGGGGAAGGAGGGGGGATTTAGATTACTATGTTCCCTAATTAGTTTGACGGGTGTCCCCAAGTTATGCTTCTAAAAATATCACATTCATGATTAATACCTTTATTATACAACACACCACATTCTGACCAGTCAAACATGGATAACTTTACTGAATAACATACCACATTCTGACCAGTCAAACATGAATACCTTGATTGTAAAACATACCACATTCTGACCAGTCAAACACACTTTCACTCAGAAGTTATCAATATTAAGCACTACATATCTATGGTTAGTATATAAAATTGTTAAATGTATAATTCTATATAAACATTTTTCAAATAAAGAGCTCTGTTATAAACATCATTCTCATAAAAGAATCTTCTCTTTACACGTCAATGTAATTAAAACAACTTACCCCTTTCTGAAGACTTTATTGTAAGCAGGATTATATACACCAACCTGTTTCTAAAATGTTTCAACATTTGTTTTAATTTGTCAATCTTAATTACTTAACTCTCTCAACACGGCCTCATCAATTTGACCAACAAAGTGACCTCTCTGTACTCATTTAAAGTTTATAGATTTATTACTTCTAACTTTCAATATAGTGTGTATATATTCACAAAATGTGGCAGACTTTCAGTTAATATTATGTCTTTCACATACAAAAAAAATCATTTTTTAGCAAACAATTTTTAATAAAATAAAGATTTGTCAAGAATATATTGAATATTTGTTTTGAATAGTCTGTGTGCAAAGTAATTTTCATGTTAAAATTAAAAATACTTTTCCTCATCTCAAAAGTCTCAAATTTCCATTGTGTATTTAGGAGGTTTTAGGGATTGGCATTTCAAACATTTTTTTTCAGTAAAACTTTATGGTTTATCTGTTATTTTCTCTACCCTATCTCAAAACAGGATCAGTGAATTTGACTGCTTGTAACTAACCAAAAAAAAAATTGAGATAAACCTAAATTACCCTTTTTTTCTTTCTAGAATGATTTCAAATTGTAACATGAAACTACATTCGTTTATCCTAAGTAGCTCTAAGTTCGTAACACTATACATCTATTTATAATTGAATTTTATTGTTTTATTGCCCTTTGAACAATATCTAACTACTACTCATGCCATTACAAGTTGTCAATCACTCAGAGAACGTGCAGGTCATGTTAACTTTTCGAATTACCTTACCCACGAGCTGCTTGCATGCATGTTTCGTGAACCATTTTAATTATAATATTATTGTTACTTATTTTATCTAATCTAGTCTAATCTAGTTACTTTTGTAATAATAAATAAAGAATAAATATGAAAATGAAATAAAGTACTTGCCCAATCTTGATTTTTCTTGCTCTCGATTGTCGATGACAGTTAAGCCTAATTTTTTATACTAATGCTAGTAATACACTTAATTTTTAATTAATCAAATAATGCAACAAAGAATATAGACTAATAACATGCAAAAAATAGACAAATTTCCATACCTCCCAAAATTTTGCTGGCTTATTAACTATGTGACAAGAACTGTTACAAATTCATCCAAGCTAGCCATTAACTTTCCCACAGGAACAATGTTGGTACTCTGAGTGAAATTGACATCTAACTGTTCAGAACATAATGTTATACAATACATCATTTGATAGATGAAAACCTTGAATTTCTATTGGTTATAGGTAATATATAATGAAACGTAAGAGAGATCTATCAACGAATTCTGAAAGAGAGGATGTGCCAGGTGGTTGTGGCAGGATGGGTTTGATTTTCTCTTTGATAGCTCTGTAACCAAACAAAATTGAAGACTACAAAAATTATGCTTTATCTGAGCAATAACGATTTTAAAAGTAATTTACGTTTAATTTCATACTTTTTAGAAGTGTGGTGGATAAAATAGGGATGATGACATCCTAATAGAAAATGTGTCATGTGGGTCACACTACTGGAAATTCAGGATTATTTTAAATATTACCTTGTAGAATTAAGAACTTAAAACTTGTATACTATTAAAATATAGATTATTAGCTAAGATTTTATGGTGCAGTAAAGTAAGAGAAACAAACCAGGCCACGCATGGTAATAAGTTTCACAATGTACACATGGTGACCGAGAGGATAATTTAGGAATTACAGAAGTAGAATAAAAAACTTGCAGAATATTTACACATTTAATTTCTATAACAGCCGAGTACACAAAGTTTGTCCATTTAAAGCCTGAGCCATGTGTAGTTTTGGAAGCAGAAAGTTAATAAAAAAGTAAAACAATATAAACAAGCAATGTAACTGAGAGGTAGTGTAACAATGGTCACACCCAAAATGTTACATAGCGAACAATGTGACGAACAAGTATGTTAGGGTAAGCCTGGATTTTAGTACAATTGTGTGAATAATCAAACTGATCAAAAATGAGCTCCGAGCAAAGCCTAAACCACAGTATATCTCGTCTGAAACCTCAGGTATGCATCTATCTTGAAGTTATTAGTTAAACTTGTTTATATTTTTTTTTAATGGAAATTACAACTTTAATAAATGACTTATTTTTCTGATTTTTTCTATGTGGTATATTCCACATATTATTTTCCTTCTTATATTAAGTTATAAAGCTGAAAGGAATTTGTTCGGAGCTCTTATTATACATCATTTTTTAGAGAAAGCAATATGATAGTCGCACATGAACTACCTGAAATGTGTTGAATAGATCTGGAAAATTCACAAAAATATTAAGAACTATATTGATTAAACTATAAATTGTGTTTTCTTTGTTATAGAGTTTACATGCATATTCTCCTGTTACTGACGAACTCCTCTAAATTGCAGTATATTTTTGCCTATGGGTCACTTCAATTAGATGTATTATAAGCAACACTTTTTGCAGTGAATTACATTAATAATGATGCACCATAAGTATTAAACAGTCATTCTTATGGTATAGAAATAAAATCCTTAGATACACAAGTGTTTCCATTATGGATGACCCAAACTTAATTAGCTTTACAGAGTTACCCAAACTGATGACCAAACATTCAGCTGTACATTGGTTTCTATGATGGATAATCCAATATAAGTTACACTGTGTGCTAGTCCCCCCATGACTGAAATCACGGCCTATCTTTGACTGAAGATGTAGCAAGCCCATGACAGATGACCAAAACATGTCTTATTATTTCATCACTTTACACAAGAGCTAGATTATACAATTAAGTTGTTCACAAGCATACTTCAAAGTGCATGAAAACACTTAAATACTTCATAGGTTTTCTATGATGGATGATATAACACTATATTGTACATGGTCTCCCTGTGACGATATAATACTATATTGTAAATGGTCTCCCGGTGATGATATAATACTATATAGTAAATGGTCTCCCGATGATAATATAATACTTAATTGTACATGGTCTCCCGGTGACGATATAACACTATGTTGTACATGGTCTCCCTGTGACGATATAATACTTTATTGTACATGGTCTCCCTGTGACGAGATAATACTTTATTGTACATGGTCTCCCTGTGACGATATAATACTTCATTGTACATGGTCTCCCTGTGACGATATAATACTTCATTGTACATGGTCTCCCT